AATATGATCATGCCTTGATTTTTAAAGATTTAATTAGGACAGTAAGGTCTGACTTTGCTTAGACAAAAGTCTTGCCACTTAACAGAAATAATGAGCAGTATAGAATATAAAGTCATTGTGCAGTGGAAAAGAATGAATATTGTGTATGACTCCCATGAGCTTGGAGGACTGCATCCATACATCTCTGCAATGACTCAAATAGCTTATTAATAAAGTCATCTGGAATGGCAAAGAAAGCGTTCTTGCAGGACTTCCAGAGTTCATCAAGATTATTTAGATTCATCTTCAATGCCTCCTCCTTCACCTTACCCCAGACATGCTCAATAATGTTAATGTCTGGTGACTGGGCTGGCCAATCCTGGAGCACCTTCTTTGCTTTCAGGAACTTTGATGTGGAGGCAGTATGAGAAGGAGCGCTATCCTGCTGAAGAATTTACCCTCTCCTGTGGTTTGTAATGTAATGGGCAGAACAAATGTCTTAATACTTCAGGCTGTTGATGTTGCCATCCACTCTGCAGATCTCTTGCATGTCCCCATACTGAATGTAACCTCAAATCATGATTTTTCCTCCACCAAACTTGACTGATTTCTGTGAGAATCTTGGGTCCAAGTGGGTTCCAATAAGTCTTCTGCAGTATTTGTAAAGATTGGGATGCAATTTAACAGAAAATCTGTCTCTTCTGCCACTTTTCCAAATGATCAACTAGAAGTCAAGTTAATGTTTGTTGCTTTTACAACTGAGATTGACGACAAGACTTTTGTCAGGTAGTGTAAACCTAATTTGATAATTGTACCCATGGTGAACAATATCAGCTATTTATGAACACATTTCTGATCCCATTTTCTATTAATCAAGATTCAACCCTGAAGTTGTTATTTGCACATTTCTAATGTTCCACCTGCTCACTTTGGTTTAATGTAATTTCCAGTAAGTTTTGTTTAATGTCAAGGTCTATTTTCTCTAACACAGTCATTGCAAACAAACTTTGACAAACTTGTGTTCAAAAGCTTGTGGCTGTTAATGTTTTGCATTATTTTAAAAATAATATTACCCAAGGTTGCACTTTTTAAAATTGAACATTCTAACTATTTAGGCAGTTTTCTACCTGAATACATTTTATAATTTATGTATTTATTTGGAAAATCAGAAATGTCAACAGCCATCAGGTCAGTCTTCAGTTTCACATAACCTTTTATGTGTCTATCTTGGATGCTGCTGCTCTAAAAAAATTACATTCATGTACACAGTCTCCATTAGGAAGATTGACTTGTCACATACACAGAGTTCCCATTAAACCAAATTTAAATTTCCCTGACTTTTAGCGGACTAACAATCTGAATTTCCATGACCTACAATATAATGAACAGAAAAAAGGCAGCTGTTGTGTAGTAGTGTTGGAGTAGTCCCTCCAAAAATGTTTAACTTTTTAAGTTGCTGCAGATTTTGTGCTAATTTTGGGCAGCCAGGAAATTCCCTCCACCATATGTATTGTTTTATAAAAAAATTAAATTATATTTTCATATAGAAAGGGCTCAATTAGTGTTTTGATATCTTGAGTTGTCAAAGACACAGAGCTGCACTTCTCCGTAAGTGTGTGTCAGGTAATAACATTATTGCAATGTGTATTCAGACAACACTAAGATTTTATTAAGAGTTCAGCGCATTTTGATAATTTAGAGTCATACACGTATCAAATATCACGTAGTAGTCTTTATATGTTTAAGCGGTAAACAATTTCTTTTAGGGCTGGGTGATATGGCAAAAAGGCAATCTCTGTAATTATTTTCCATTTTGAACGATAATGATATATATTTTTTCGATATCAGTTGTTAATGCTACCAGATTTAAAAGAGTAAACCAACAATAACTGAAGCCACAAAAATTAGAAGGTACGTAACATATTATAAGATGATACATTTTCAGTGGCCGAAATTCAGTATACATCTCTAATATCAACAGACTTTTAGATTTACATTGTTGCATTTTCTGCTGTGTGATTGGCGCTTAGCATATGAAGTAAAAAAAAGTCCAGAGTTTATCATTGTTATTGACATAAATTTATGTTGCCATTATGAGGTATTTACATTTACATTTAGTCATTTAGCAGACGCTTTTATCCAAAGCGACTTACAAATGAGGACAAGGAAGCAATTTACACAACTAAGAGCAACAATGAATAAGTACTAAAGGCAAGTTTCAGGTCTGTAAAGTCTAAGAAGGGAAGTATTAGTAGTAGTTTTTTTTTTTTTTTTTTTTGTACAGTTAGTGTGATATTCAAAGAGGCAATTGCAGATTAGGAAGTGAAGTGGAGACTACATAGTTGAGTTTTTAGTCGTTTCTTGAAAATAGCGAGTGACTCTGCTGTTCTGATGGGAGTTCATTCCACCAACTTGGCAGATTGAGCGTGAGCGTTCGCGAAAGTGATTTTTTTCCTCTTTGGGATGGAACCACGAGGCGACGTTCATTCACAGAACGCAAGTTTCTGGAGGGCACATAGATCTGCAGAAGTGAGTGCAGATAAGAAGGTGCTAGGCCAGAAGTCACTTTGTAGGCAAACATCAGAGTTTTGAATTTGATGCGAGCAGCAACTGGCAGCCAGTGCAAACGGACTAGCAGCGGAGTGACATGTGCTCGTTTAGGTTCATTGAAGACAACTCGTGCTGCTGCATTCTGGAGCAGCTGAAGAGGTTTGATAGAGTTAGCTGGAAGCCCAGCTAGTAGAGAGTTGCAGTAATCCAGTTTGGAGAGAACAAGAGCTTGAACAAGGAGTTGAGCTGCATGTTCAGATAAGAAGGGTCGGATCTTTCTGATGTTATAGAGTGCAAATCTGCACGATCGAGCAGTTCTAGAAATGTGGTCAGAGAAGTTTAGTTGGTCATCAATCGTTACTCCAAGGCTTTTCACCATTTTGGATGCAGTAATGGTTGCCTCATCCATCTGGATTGAAAAGTTATGGTGTAGAGTATTGTGTTAAAATTTGGGGGAATACATTTAAATCTAACTAAGGATCCTTATGTAATACAGAAAAAGTAATTAGGCTGATAGAAAATGTGAGGTATTTGGAGCATACAAATACTTTGTTTTTTAAATTTAAGATACTTAAGTTCAATGATTAGGATACATTTAAAACAGCACAATTTATATTTAAAGCTAGAAATTGTTTCCGAAATGCATACAAATGTTTTTTGAAGAAAGAAAACGGGCATATAAACTGAGAGAAGAACATTTTAGGAGGTTGAAAACAAGGACAACTTTAAAATAATTGTGCATGTCTGTTTGGGGTGTGAAATGATGGAACAATCTGGAACAGAGTCCTAAACTATGTCAGGATATTAATTAATTTAAAAAGTTGTATAAGTATATATTATTAAAGCAATATAAAGATGAATAGAGGTGATTGAAAAAGAATAAAATGAGAAAGGTATGACTGTTTGATGGCTGTTTGAAACACTGTGTATCTATTGGATCCATGTTATAAAATGTAAATGTAAAAATGGAATCAAACATATATTATGTCAAAGATGCCAAAAGGACAAAATATGTCTCATGTAAAGCTCACATGTCTCATGTAAATAGAAGAGATAAGTAAAAGAAGAAATACGTTTAAGTAATACACGAATGATATGTGTGGTAATACGGTGGGAAAACAATAAGCTTGTGCTTCATCCCACTGCATTTCGACCATGTTGAAATGTGTTTTGTGTTAAAGAATTTGTATGTATGATATTTCTGTTCAAAACAAATAAATCAAATCCAATCAAATTATTTAGGATTCGATATAATCCCGTTTATCGGTCGAGTCCTAATTTCTCTCTTTGTTTCTATCAGTGCTTATATAAATTACCAATGACCAATGGTTCTTGAGGTCAAAAAAATAATGAGGAGGTGTAAATGTGTATATTCTCACAGCAAAACAAATAAACAAAAAAAAAAAAGCTGCAATTAACAACACAAAATCATCATCAGTCATTTTAGTCTACAATGATCAAAGCTTAACAGGAACAGTCTGGTGACTGCGTTTGATTGCTGGCTGACAAGCGGGAAAGGAATAAAATGGCAATGAAAATTTGCCTAACCATAACAATAGGCAAAACATGTGTAACAACAAGATTAAAAACACATTATTTGTAATTAATGTTTAGTTTCTTGCACAGACAAAGAAACTGAACATAAGACCCCAATAGATCACCAGGAGCCACAGGGTATAATTTAGTTTGCCTTTAGATGTTTTTTTACTCTAAAAGCAATTATAGTTGTTTATGAACTGGAAAACATCCCACTTGTGGGGCGGTGAAAGTTAGGAGGTTGAAAGCTTTTTTTAATGTTGTACTAAATAAAATGCATCTCCTGCTTCTTGGATGATTAACAGCACATTTTGGTTGAATAAATATTCTTTTCAATTTTTCGTAGAAATAGATGTTATTATTTTAAAATGTACATAAAAGATAGACACATTATACATGTATAAACTTCCACTTTGGATCGGTGTATTCCTTGTTGTATGTTACTGTGTGAACTAATTTACATATTATTTAGCAAGGTGATTTATTTAATATTTTTGATTATCAAATAATGATATTTTTATATCTATACGTGATCGTCACCCACTTTAAGTGATGGTAAAGTAAACAACAAAGTGAATTGATGATCAAAAGTAATATCTTAGTGCACTTTTTCCCTTCCATATGCTTTTCAGTCCTGGCTGAGATCTGATTCAGTTGTTAAAAAGTGCAACAGATACAAAACACTTCTTCATACTGACGTAGGAAAATATTCATTTCACAACAGGGGATTCAATATGATACTGTCTGAATGAAAGTGCAGCTGCTGCTTGGAGACATGCTGGACCATGTAGTCAGAACCTCAAAACATACATAGGAACCAAATCACCTTAAAACATACAAAGGAACCAAATCACTCCTGGTAATGTTTACAAAATGGAACAACTCGAAAGACTGTGGGGATTCCTTGTATACAAGTGGAAAGCAAAGACTCTTACCCAGCTTCCCCCGTGACTCCTCAAGCTTCTGGATTTGGTTCTCCAAAAAGATCATGGCAATAGCGAAGGCCAGCAGAGCCAGGAGCTGAAACTTCGGCGGCATCATTAATCTTAAAAGCCCCATCAAAAAATCCAGCAGGAAAAGGGCATGCCGTGACCGAGAACTTTATTACACACAGTTCATTGATGCAGTGAGCAGTGTTGCTAGTTCATGACTCCAGTGTATCGGTCCTCGAATATAAACAAACTGCAAACTACGTTACACTACAGCTGAATAACTCACTTCCGCAACAAAACAGTTATGATTAAAATGCAATATACTTATTGAATCGGAACAGCTGTGGCTCTGTTGTAGTTGAGCAGCAGTAGTGTACGTTCAGTTGTTGATAAATCCTGGGAAATGTAGGCACGTTGAGTCACTGCGCATGCGTACTCGCTGGGTTCGACGTCAGTTGGTCAGCTGTCGCTCGATGACTGGAGAAGCACTTTTCACTCAACGATTTCCAGATATTTGGTATAAGACGTTTATAAAATTACTTACAAAATACATTTCCGTATATTTTCAGTTTATAATATTTTTGTGTTGAAAAACAAAATATGCACATAACATGTGAGGGCAATAAATGGTATCCATTTGTACATTGTAATCTTCTGCAATTGTACCTTTACAGCTCTGTACAAATTTAATAAAAAGAATGAGGTTTAAAATCTCTCTTTATTTGCACCAGACAATTTTTATATTTGAATAATGTTCGAATAAAAGTATTTAATACATTACATACCTTTATTATCAGACATGCACGACAAATCAACAAATTTCTTCAGTTTTTTATGTCATTGTACATATAATTGTGTCATTTTTTTGATACCAATTGTTAAACAGTTTTAATCAAACGGAAACTAATATTCGATTATTTACAAGACTTTTATTAGCGGATGTGTGTGACGTACTTCCTGCTGAGCCTCAGCGACTGGGAAAGAAACAGTCATGGCGGGGGAGGTGTATCTGCTTTGGTTGCTGCCGTTATTACAGGGGGTAAGTGAATAAAACAGATATGTACACTATCATCTTTGATAGCAGACACTTATCTGTGCAGGGCATCCACGTTTTTTTCTATGACATGGACTGTTTGCGTTTTAGGCGCTAGTTAGCCGGTTCGCTAATGTTAGCTAATGACGTGGCCCAACCGGCAGATTATGGAAATAATATAAGTAATAATGATGTCGTTAAAATACCATAGTTTTTTTTTTATATGAGCAACATTAAAATTGCTTCTACTACAATTTATCGAGACTGTGCTTTATATGGCTTGTTGATAAATAAAACAAAATAAGCTAGTATATCTGCAAAAGATGAACTAACGTTAGTGAGTTACTTAACAGTAGCATAACTTTATTTTGTATGTTATACAGTTACCATTACAGTCATTTAAAGTACGCGTTCAGTTATCTCAACTTGTGTTTATGTTCCATTTCTGGAGTATTTTCCTATAATAGCGTATATTATGCACAACCAGGAAGCAAGCTCATTGATATAATTTTTCACAGATTCAGCTTATGTGGATACAAAATATGCATAATTAAAAGCTTTAACCTCAATGGCTTGTTGATTTGTATTCAGTAAAAGTCAGAGGAAATTTGGTGGCGTATTAAAAAAAGCATAAAGAGTAAAAATTCTCGTCCAATACCTCCAATTGCAATTAAAAGAAAAAAAATCTCTATTTCAAATGATCTGTCATTTCTTTATCTAAGAATATTCAATTTCAAATGAGTGTAATGAATTCTGTAGAGGTGATGTGTACAAAACACCAGTTATAAATCACAGACTCTTGTTATCATAGCTGTAGCCAAAGCTCGCAAATCCATCACCTGTGCTTTACCCCCACATTTGCCTTTATCTTTGACATTGCATTTGAGTGTCATAAAAATCAAAGACGTTGTCATAGAACAGCTGAGAATTTCAAACAGGCATGTAAAGTTGAGGTAAATTAGTGCTAGTGTTGATAGAATTGCTTTTTCTGCTTGTTTTCTTTGCTCAGTTGGCGTCATATGGAGCAGAGCTCTCATCTGAGGCTTGCAGGGAGCTGGGGTTCTCCAGCAATCTCCTGTGTAGCTCCTGTGAGCTTCTGGGTCAGTTCAGTCTGAACCAGCTAGACCTTCCCTGCAGGCAGTGCTGCCAAGAGGAGGCTCAGCTGGAGAACAGGAAGGTGAGTTCAGCATCTGTGCCAAATCACAAGCTCATTTCTTGCTCTGACCACAAAGTAATGGACCTTAAAAATGTTGTAACGGTGCTTTAAAAGATGTAATGGGCTATAAAGGCCCTCACACAGGAAGTTGACTTTAAATAACTAGCAGTGATAAAAGCAAAGCCGAGGTCATCCAAAAACAGCTCACTGCAAACCAGCGTGTGTTTTCTGGGCCTGTATTGAAGGAAATAATGGTCTATTAGCTAAGGCTTAAATGGTTCACTAAATTCATGTTTCTTGAGCCTTAGATAACTTTTTGGCTTCGCACAAAAAAAGAGATGCTTTCTAGATAAGTTTAAGAGAACTTGGTTTTACAAAAATAGATCCAATAGTTTAAACCAAAATATAATAAAATTAGAATAAAAATAGAAATAACCTGTTGGAATAAATAAAATTTCCATTTAATATCTTACATGAAGGACAGTGCTCACGGAGTACTTTACATCGATAATATGATTTTATTACGATTAAGACAATACTCTGATTAAAAGTATACTATGTAAACATCGTTTTTTTTATTACATTTTTTACTTTATTTATTTTTGTATTAATTTAATCAGATTAAGCTCATAATGAAACAAAACAGAAATTAAGACTTTATTATTCAGTATAAAGTACAGTACAGGCATGTAATCACCTCACTCAAACTATTATCATCATGGAGGATTTATCGCTGCATTTTGCATCCAGATAGTCTATACACACACACGGCTGTTTGACACTATTCTCTGCACCTACCGAGTCAGTAAAGGACCACAGACACGCACACACTGCGAAATGCAGAGTTTTTTTTTTTATTCATGCGACACCCAGTATCAAATTCTATTAAACGACACTCTTCCAGCAGTTCATACTCTCATCCAATATGCCGTTTGTTACTGGGGGCATGCATGAAATGTTCATGAATGAAAGTAAAAGTGCCAAAGTGTAGTTAAAGTGGACAAATAAAAGTAAAACACCCAGAATTAATTGAAACTCCGGAGGAAAATTGGATAGCTTTAATCGAATTATGTGTTGTAACATGGGAAACCGGATCATGAAAGGAACATTCAAAAAGCAATTCATGTAAACATTTTAATAATAACAAAAAATATATTATTAATTTTTTAAATTCTTAAAATATTAAGGCAAATAATTTGATTACTGATGTACATGTAAACGTAGTCATTGACAGTATAGAGTGTCCATTAGGGTTGTAACAATATACCGGTATGACGGTTTACCACGATTTGAACGTGCACGATTATCATACCATGAACAATTGCATATCAACGGTTTTAACCCTTAAAGACCGAGACAGCCGCCCGCGGCTAAAAATAAGTATTGCTCTTAAATGTTTAATAACTTTTGATCCGCTGATCCGATTCATACAATTCAAAGATTGGCATAAAGAAGAGAATCTCAGCTTTCCAGTGCTGTATCACATAACGCGGACTTTCACAGGCTCCAGAATCAGTGCGGTTACGTCATCAACATTTGACAACGCTGATTTGACAAAGAAACGCTCGTCACTGTGTCTCCGGACAAATCAGACATGATACATTGATGCATTGTCCCTCCTCCATGCCCAGATTGGTTCAAACTCGCTATATCACAACCAATAAGCATAGGTTTCGCTTTTGTTTGTGGACCAAGGCTGTTTCTCAGAGAATGGACTTGCGTTCTTGTAGAGTGCGGTCTTGCCAGCTGTCCTCGGAAGAACGAACTCAGGAGACCGCGAGGGCAGAGAACGCGTCCTTTGAGAAATGGGATGCTGCGTTCTTCCTGATGGTCATGTGACCTTCACGCGTTTTAAATGGAAATTAATTAAACATTACAGCCTTCGTACAACGATTTATTGTTTCCCCCTCTTCAAAATATATACTTTGCATAAAAACATTATAAATATACTCTGCACATTATAAATAAAACAAATTTTAATACGAATTTCATCAAACAAACACAGTTAATGTGTTTATTCCTTTATTAAGATGTTCATGTTAATGTTTACCTTCACCGTTTCATTTAGGGAAACTCCTGAGGTAAATAAGTGATATCTCTGAACTTTAATAATAAATCTAAATAAAATGCTGCGCTTCCCACCTCCAGTCGCAATGACTTCTGGGACTTCCAGAGCGAGTTCGGTGCTCAAGTCTGCATCGGTGCGTCCTCGATATCAAGAACACATCCGGGAAGTTTCACGCGTCCTCCGTACTTGCGGTCTTGAGCATTGGAACTGAACTTAGGCAGCTGATGATGACGTTTCACGAGAACACGAGGACGCAAGACCGCTGAAGAACGCATATTGAGAAACAAGCTTTTTGAACAACACGGAATGAGAGAAAGGCATACATTTATGCGCGGCTAAATAAAACGCAAAAAAAAAGTTTTGCATGAAATAATTCTCATACTAAGTACTTTTGCATGCACAGCAGCACAGAAACATGACAAAACAGTGACACAGCAAAGACGAACTGCTGCTCTTGCGGTTTTCAAAAGACGCAAATGAAGATGCAGCTGTTTGTCTGCATTGCAGACAACCATATCCATATCCATAGACAACCATATCCATGCTGGCACATAAAACCTAAGGATGTTCCATATTGAATCTAGTTTCGTTATGCAACTATTTATAGTATAGTAAATATTTATATCTATTTTTTTACTGAGGATTTGCACCATGTTTATTTGGACTTTATTTGGACTTTGACACATTATTTATTATTTTCTTATTTTTATTTGTTCATTGTAAGTGGTGTTGTTTATAGTAACTAAAAATATATTATTTGGAAAAAGTCAAATTTGCTTCACTGTTCTATTATTTTGTAACATACCGTATACCGCGAAACCGTCAAACCGTGGTATTGTTTTAGACGATTATCATACCGTGAAAAATTCATACCGTTACAACCCTAGTGTCCATCACTAGATGCCACACAGACCACAGGTTGATCACCCACTGCTAGCCTCTCTAGCACCTCTTTCAGCAGCAACCTAGTTTTCCATGTGGTCTCCCATTCATGTACATCAAGGAGAACATAAACCTTTGCTGTTTGTTTATAAACCACATGGAATTAATAAAAGCAGCTAAATCTTCAGTTAATTCGACAACCGCTATTTCGATTTCTTGGGTTTTCTTCTTGTGACTCATGAGAGCGCCC